CTACCACATGTTAACTACTTCTTTATTTGATAATGCAAACACTAACAGGGGGATTTTATAAAAGTTTTAGCATAAAATGCAAGTCTTTTATTTGACTATTCCTCATTCATTCACTATCATTTATTACTAATATTTCTGAACTGGTTAGTACAGCTTTTCATTGTGTTGTGGCTGGTCTCATAATTAGGCAGAGTTTTTTTTTCTTCTAGACAAAGAGAAAACAATACTGAAGCTGTTTTTCTTTGTGGAGTTTGTATTATAATAACCCTCAGTATAAACTTGTTGAGGGAGAGGGACACAGCTCTGGCTTATTGAACTTTTGCCAATTAATACGATATTGGACTAGATTACATCTGGTCACTGTCCTGGGAAAAGCACTTTTTACAGAGATGGCCTCCCAAGTAGTTTTAAATTTTATCCTTCCATTGAATTTTTTTAGGTCCATTATATATGTTGACTAAATTTGCAGATCAATTTGGTTGTTTTTGTTTTAATAAATAAAGGCCGGTCCATGGCGTGGTGGTTAAGGCAGCTGGGTCCCACATGGATGACTGCGTGGTTGGAGTCCCAGACCAACGACTTGAAAACACACTGGGTACATGCACATGTGCACATACTCCAAATCTAGAAAGGATGGAGAAAGAAGAAGAAAGGTTTGTGGTGTGAGCATTCCTCATGGGAGATGACTTCTCACTTTCTCTCTCTCTCTGTCTCACAAGCACATATGTCCTCTAGCAAAATTAAAACAAACAACAACAAAGATAAGCCAAGGTCTTCACAAATGTCCCCAAGCCACTACATGAAGTAATATTAATCCCCATCCTTATTTCATTATTACTTCCCAGTCCATAATCGTGTCATCCCTCCTAGTCCACTCTGCTCTAGACCCACACACTGGCCTTGTCACTTTAGCTGGAATACACCAGGCATGCTGTCACTGCGGAGCCTTTACATGAGCTGCTCCTTTGCCTAGACCTGCCCACGGACATTCATTCCATTCACTCCTTTAACTTCTTTCAGTCTTCATCATCTGCTCACCCTACCATAGTCAAAACTGTAACTTCCTTCCCACCCCCTCAGAGTTTCTATTCTCTGTCCTAGCTTTTTCCCCCATAGTACTCACCACCATCTATCATATGCTGTTTTTGATTTTTTTAAATCCTATTTCTTCCATCCCCTTTCCACCAAATGCTCCCCAAGAGAGTAGGAATTTTTATTTGTTTTGTTCACCAGTGTGTTCCCAGCTCCTAGAAAAGAATCCAGCACCTCTTAGGCACTCTATCGATATTTGTTGAATAAGTGAATGAATTAATATGGCATAAGTGATAAAATGTCTAAATGATGGTACAGCACATACATATATTTGAAAACATATATCCTAGATTCAGAAATCTGTGTCATCATTCTGAAAATACAGATGACACACCTAGAGTCCTAAGCATTAAACCTCCAGGGCCACTATGCAAGGGTGCACACGACATGTCTGGCTCATCTCAACTGGGACAAAGGAAAACATCTTTGGACCGACATTGCACCCAGTACTAGAAAAAGAAGTAATCACTGTCTCATATGAAAAAATATACTCTCTAGAATCTAATTCACATTTTCAAACACTTGACTTCTTTTCATGGGTGGAAATTTCAAGGTTAGTAGTAACTGTTATGACACCATAACAAAATTCTATAATAATTAGGTTAATTATACTTGAATATTTAATTTGTGCCAAACCACAATTTAAGCCATCATTTCAAAATAATTTTATGTACACTTATCAGTACCGATGAAATTATCTCTCTAAAGAATAATTATCTGAAAGAATCCTACAAAGTCACTTGCCAGGGCAAGTAAAGTTGTGTATATCCTGATCCCTGAAAAGACGTAACTATAATTCCTTATATGGCAAAGAGGATTTTGCAGGTGTGATTATGTTAAGGCTTATGAAACAGGGAGATTATCCTGAAATAATCAGGTAGGCCATTGTAATACATTGTAACAACAGCATCTTTTTTTTTTTTTGGAGATGTTTTTGCTATAGGGCACGTGCGCTCACCAGACAGAGAGAGACAGAGAGACAGAAAGCGAGCAATCACCCCCCAGGGGGTTGGCCACACCGTAATCCCTTCGCCTCTATTCTCCTCTCGGGATCTTGGGCACGCACGCACACACACCGGGCGTGAGTTTTAAGTCACCGGGTCCGGGACGTGAACCACGGTCAACTACGTGGGAGTCTAGCACCATAGCCATTACGCTAACTGCTGGTCCCAACAGCGTCTTTAAAAAAGGGAAGAAAGGGGGCCAGCAGGTGACATGGTGGTTAAGGGCACTGGACTCCCACATGGCCTACTGCAGTTTGAGTCCCGGACCTGGAGGCTTGCTTTCTCACTTTCTCTCTCTCTTTCACTCTCATTTTGTCCCAATCATTCTAAGCTGTCCAAAATTTAAATAAATAAATAAATAAATACAATAATTCTTTAAAAAAAAAAGAGAGAAAGGCCAGCTGAAGTGGCCAGTGCTAACATTGCACTTTCCAACGCTGAGTCCTGAGTTCACATCCCAAGTTCTTTCTGTGCATACTAGGCATGTATGCATGTGCCTATGATCCTGACTGGCTGAGGCTGGGGGTAGAGCTCATTGTGTGGCCTCTCTTGGAGGTAACTCTCTCTACTTCTCTCGTGGAAGAAATAAAATTTTAAAAACTTTGAGGAAATGGGGACAGAAGGTGACATAGTGATTGGGGTCCTTGCCCCCCTTCCCCCCCACCATGATTCAAGTTCTAGACCTGGAGACTTGTTTTCTCACTCTCCACTTATTCCCCCCACTTCCATCTCTCTCTGGTGAGGGCACATGCCAGATAGCAAATAATAATAATAATAATGAATAAAAATTTTAAAGACTTTGAGAAAACAAAAGGAAAAAAAATGAGTGAGAGAGAGAGGAAGAAAGGCAAAAGGGTTAGAACCAGAGAAAGAGATATGGCCAAAGGGAAGATGAAAGGGCTTAGAGAGAAGGAAACACAGATTTGAGAATGCCACTTTTCTAGCCCTGAACATGGAGAGAGGGGTCATGACACTTTTCCCAGCCTGTAGGTTAAACTAGGAATAGAACCCAAGCTTCCCAATGGTCCTAGCTAGCAAAGACCAGTGTCTTAGCAGCATGTGCCACTACAGCTGAGCCTAAGAGACCTTTCTGAGGCAAAATTGGTGATGTTCAATGACTACTTTCGTGAGAGTAGAGAAGAAAATAGAAAATGAACCCAAGTTTTCCAGTGTGAAATGCTTTGTTAGGGAGGGGATTCAGAAAGGATCCCATTTTACATGACAAATAATGTCATGTGGATATGCCTAAGAGATTATTTGAAACAGATACCTCATGTTTGGGAGAAGGTTCTCAGAGGTAAAAATGTGAGTACAGGAGTGTTAGTGTTTGATGTTGAAATAATGAAACTTCACTTGTATGAAGATGTAAATTGATAAGTGGATCAAAGATAAAATTATGGAGGAATAGAATGTATTTAAGTAGGAGCTAATGGAGAAATCAGCAAAGGAGATTAAACAGAGATAGGAGAGTAACAACTATAATCTTGACTAGTCTTATCAGCTCATGTTCTATAAGGTCTCTAAGAACTAAAAAATCACTTCCATTGTGATTGGACTGAGAAAATACACCGTATTTATATATTACATATATTTATATACATATTGTTATATATTTATACATATTATATATATATAAATATATATATATATATTTCTGCTGCCTATGCAGAACATTCCAAACACTTAGTAAATTCTTGAAAAACTGTTATTGAATTACTCAACTAAAATAAACATAAAATCCAGTAGAGCCAGTGATTCTTAGATTCACAAATACTAGTAATTTTTAGTGCTTGGATTTTAGTTTTGGTTCTTCCACTAATTGAGCAAATCATTTAACTTTTATAAACTTTTTCTCATCTTAAAAAATAAAAAAGAACAGCTAAAGAGGCTGAGATAGCTAGCTAATATTTTAGGTTGCTTTCAGCTGTAAAGCTTACAGTTTCTCTAGAGATCCAAGCAATTCTGAGATGGAAATCTTAAAAAAAAAAAAAAAAAAGTATTCAAAAGCAAGGCTGAAGTAATGAATCCTGTTCCCCTACTACATCCTTGTCCCTTCTTTAATGAATATATTTCAGTACTTTTCCAGTTCCTGTTATGAGTATAGGTGATTGTCACTCTTCCACCCTGAGTGTCTTGATCACCTCAGTGGAATGGCAGGCATTATATCCCACCTCTCCTTCCTTGGTACCTTTGAAGTGGCTCATTGGCTCATTAGCACAGAACACTCCCTTACATCCCAGCTGAAGGTCTTAAGCTTCTCCAGGTTGTGGTGTTAAAAGGGTCTGGCCTCTGAATTGAGGAACCCTATCTGGTTCAGTACACTTGTGATCTCAAAAGGAAGGATTTTTGGTTTTTTTTTCAGTCAGAATTTTTAAAAAGAGAAGAAAAAGAAATCTTTACATTATAAAAAGTCTAATGACTCCCTTGCAAAAGGCATTTATTTTAGACTATATAATTATCATTGGTGTGGGATGAATCAGGACTTGAATAACCTGTATCCGTCCCTTTCCCCTGATCCTTGCAATACTTGGTGCCAGACACTGCGCTGGATTCCAGGTTAAACCAATTTGAAATAAAGACAAGACAATCCTTGAGAGGCTCCTAGAGTCCTAGAGGCTCCACGCAGGAAACAGCGGCACGCAAAATTCTTGAAAGGCCTCTAGGAATTTCTTTAAGGACTGGGCGACAAAACTTCAGCCCGGAAAGTAAGACCCAGGTGAACTCCCCTTTCTTTGGGACACCAGACTGGGAACCTGGGAGGCGGGTAGTCACAACTCCGCGTCTCGCCGACTTCCGGTGGCCGCCATGTTTTTACCTGCAGGCTCCGCCCTGGGCCCGCGTCCTCCCAGCAGGCCCCGCGCGATGTCGCCCCGCCCCCCGACTCGGCCACGCCCCCCCCGAGGAGCCGGGGCGATGGCGGAGTTGGACATCGGGCAGCACTGTCAGGTGGAGCACTGCAGACAGCGAGGTGACGGGGAGCGCCTGTGCCCGGCTTTGGCACCATAGGTGGTGGTGGCGGGCGAGGGGAGGCCTGAGGGCCAGTTGGGCCTGCGGAGCGTGGCGCGTGCCTCTTGGATCTGCAGTGAGATGAGTTGGTGGTTTGTTTTTTTTTAAATTGAGGCTTGGGATCTTCTTGGACGCGAACCATGCAGTTCCTGAAAGCGTACCTGGCAGTGGTCACTTAGGTTACCCAGTGCGTCTTCCCAGGAACCCACTGAGGTTTGGTCGTGCGAAGCCCACCCCGTGCCGAGGGGCGCGAAGAAGGCGCGCGCTTGCGGCTGGGGTGGACAGTCGCCTTCTACACTGGCCTTGCCACTGGGAACTGGGACAAGCCACTTCCTCCAACTTTCTCTTTACTTATCTGTTAGATGGAGTTGAGAGAAATCAAT